TTGTGTGATTGCGCCCTTAAACTGTCAACCGACTCATCACCCAAATGGCGCTTTCAGGCGTTCTTGCGCATCATTTTTGCCTGTTGATAGACTGTTAATTCTGGGCTGGTTTGAGCGTTTAGAGTGTCAACTTCACTCTTTCAGGGTGTTTAGAATATGACTTTAGAACGCGGTTGGTCGTTTGTTTGAGAAACTCAACAAAACCCAAGCAAAACTATTGGAACTTTTGGGTTTCTGGGGTTCACATTGTGATTTATCAAGGTTTTAGAACACAGTCAAACTCAATCGAACTTTTAGGCGCACTTGCGCAACTAAAAGTTCGATTGAGTTTGATTTGTTGAGTTTCTCAAACAAACGACCAACCGCGTTCTAAAGTCATATTCTAAACACCCTGAAAGAGTGAAGTTAACACTCAAACGCTCAAACCAGCCCAGAATTCACAGTCTATCAACAGGCAAAAATGATGCGCAAGAACGCCTGAAAGCGCCATTTGGGTGATGAGTCGGTTGACAGTTTAAGGGCGCAATCACACAAAAAATCCCATTCTAAACGCTTTTGAGCCACGCCCAAAAACCACAGTAGGCACGCACAGAAAAATGTGCAGTTTTAAGACTAAACCCTTGACCTGTTGAAGTCACAGTCCAAACATGAAGAGCCAATCTGGAGCCATAAATTTGGAAAGGTCTCTCAGGTTTGATTGGGTTGCATTAAATTYCCAGTCTGAACAAGTAACCGAGCCCCAATGTCACATTCTAAGCAGCCTAAAAATATAAAATTCACAGTGCAAACGCAAAAGCTCGCTTAAAGTCACGTTCTAGCCGATCCTAAAAATTCTGAATTTACCGCCTGATCACGCAAACCGCCCTCAATTCACAGTCTAAACGGCAACCGAAAAATGTTGGTTAAAGAGGTCTGCAAGTGGTTTGATTGGGCCTGGATGAATTGACAGGTTAGACTCTCGATCATGCTTAAAAGTCACATTCTAAACGCGGATAAAAATGGTGAAAGTATCAGCACAGAATCCTGCCGAAAATTCACTTAAAAATCGAATCAAGAAATCTCAATTTACGGTCTTAACACACGGCTATTTAATCACAGTCTAAACATCCAAAAATTATATTGAATAAAGACAGTGAGAAGTTCTGTTAGGTTAAAGTGTCCACTTCCAAAAAATCGCAGTCTAGGCAACATTAAAATGCAGAAATCACAGTCTAATCTCGAACGTGCGGAGAAAATTTACAGTGTGAATAGCAGAAGAAAAATTGAAGAGCAAGAATTTAAAAATGCTTTTGGGTGGTTTGATTGGATTAAATTGTGACAAAAATCACTTTCTGGACGCTTCTAAAAGTGTTGTATAAAAATATATCGAAACATTAAATTTCCAGTCTAAAACCCACAGTCTAAACAGTTGCCAAAAAGACGCCTAAAAGTTCTGTGGGGTTCGATTTGGTTGCGTCAAGTTTCCAGTCTGGACGAGGAACAAAGTTGCAAAATCACATTCTAAACATCCTAAAAAATGTTGAATTCACAGTCCAATCGCCCAAAGTCGCCCCAAATTCACAGCCGAAACAGTAAAGAAATGTCAAATGCGTCTAAAATTGCTATTGGGTTGATTTCAATTCACAATCTAAACGCCTCAAAAATTAAAAAAAAATTAAAATTGTTGAAAGTGCAAACTAGAAATGATGATTAAGAATGAGAGCCTGAACGTATTGAAAAATGTAGTTTCCAGTCTAAACGGGCTATCCGTAAATTACAGTCCAAACATTTCAAATATTATTCGGTTTGCGTTAAAATCACAATCTAAATACGCAACCACGTGCCCAAATTTCACAGTCTGGGCGCTTCTGAATGTTTTGAAAGGCTGGAATTGCAACTACGCCAAAAAACTCCCAATAAGAAAAATCCCGAAATATATAAAAATATGAAGTTTACGGTCGTTTGATTGGGTTGAGTTAAATTCACAATTTGATTGCTCAATCAGCCTCAAAAATCACATTCTAAGCGCACGACCCATAAAATACAGCCGAAATCTGACAAAAAAATCCTTCAAGGTTCTATTGGTTTGAGTCGATTGCTTCTAAAAGAATAATCATGCTCCAAAGTCACATTCTAAACATCCAAAAAGTAGAAATTAACCC